TTGGAAAATTCGCCTTAAAAGATGATTTTTTCCTATATTTCTCTTTTCTTTAAATAGCTGTTTTTTTTTTTGGATTAATTATCTGCCATCCAGAGGGGGGCGCGACCTCTGGCAGAAATCACTAGTGCTGGTCATGATTATAACTTTTTTTTTATATTATAGAAGAAAATTCTACTATGAGAATGAATTTTTCCTATATTTCTCTTTTCTTTAAATAACTGATTTTTGGAACTTTTCGCCCACCGTCTAAGGGAGAGAGGGGCGTGCCCTCTGCTGGATCCGCTAGTAACAATCTTGATCATAATGTCTGTTATATCACATAAGAAAATTTGTCTTAGAGGTCTTAGAGTGATTCCTATATAAAATCACACGAATTGGAATTTATACTAATTACAATTTCAGGTCAATGTTAATTTAATCTTGGGAACATATTTAACTTACTCAAACGGCAGGTAAATTGTATTGGACTTTGACAAACAAACAGACAAGTAATTGGAAGGCCTAGTGTACTTCCTCTTTATGACGAACTTGTATCCCATGTTGGAGAACAAGCAGACAAACTTTGATGGAGGCTCGGTGAAATTATAAACCTGAAACATATAGAAAAGTATTTTACATTGCTTCGATTGAAATAGTTGTCATTGTTACGTTATAGTATAAATGATGTATAGTTTTAAAAATTTTCATCAAATTCATTCAGCGAATGCTTAACGTGACTGAAATTTTCAAGGCAGTTGTAACTATAATACATGTTTGTAATTCCACCAATCGCTTAAACATTTCGAATCTCTATGTAATTTTTCTAACAGCTGATAGAACTGATGTATGAACAAAAATTTCTGCATAATAACATGTCTTCTATCAGAATCAGTGACGTAAATACGCAGGCGGAAGTTTACATACGAGGCTCAAGAGACTCCCGGATTTTGATTTTTTTTTCTCTAGAAATATTTTAGATAGTTTAAAAAACTTACCAGATATGACAATACTTGTGTAATAAAAAGATGAAGAAATAAAAAGTTGTATCATGGAGCTGAAGAAGAGTCCGTTAAAGACAGGATGGTTGCAGAATTGACTGTTAAAAATAGTAATAAAAATGGAATGCCACATAAATTAATTTATTTAATACGCATGGCTATGGAAAATGCATCATCAAAAGCTGTTATTAGAAACAAAATTGGTCAACTATTTAAGGTACAATCTATTATTCGTCAAGGAGAAGCCTTAGCGGCAACACTATGCAACTTAGTTCTGCATGCTGTCTAAATCGCAACTAAAAAAGGAAGTATCGTTGATAAGACAAGGAAAATTTATGCCTATGCTGATGACCTCGTAATTACGGCCAGAAAAGGCACTTAAACAGTCTGTAGAGTTAATGCATGTTATCAGGCAGCACGGCTAAGCTGTTATAAACAAAGCAGGTTAGCTTGGGTGAGGTTACTCAGACTGGAGTAGTCCTATTGTTCCTGAAAGTGTGATGTCTATATAGAAGAATAAAAGTGTTTTGTGATATAAAGTTTTCAACATAGCCTCATTTGTTTTCTGACATGACAGAGTTATTTAAAATAACATACGAAAATTCTAACAAAGCAGCGCTTTTTTGTCAATGAAAGCAAGGCAAAATAGCAAAACTGTTCTTAAAGCAAATAGATTCTACAGCGATATCAAAATAAGGAATTTTAAGTTTGAAAATGTTCCCACATTTGTGTATTTCGGTTTTGTCCTAAATTATGAAAATTTAATGAGAAAATACATCAATAATAGAATAATGGCTGGTAATAAAGCCTAATATGAAAACCTTAAATTTTTCAAGTCTGCATTTCTATTAAAGGCACGAAATTAAAGCTATATAAAACTCTTATTAGATTAGTGATTACCTATGGGGCAGAATACTGGTGTCTGGCGCGAGAGGATTGCCGTAAACTAAAAGTATTTGAAAGAAAGATTTGCGGTGTGCTACAAGAATTAATGGTGAATGGAAAATTAAGAGTAACAATTAATTCGAGGCAATGTTAGAGAATAATAACATTATTGACTGTATCAATGTGGTCAAAATGGAGGAATAACGGTGTACTTCAGCGGTAAGAAGAAGGCCGAGAAGTAGGTGGAAGGATGAAGTGGAGAGAGGCGCGAGGAAGCTAGGAGTTCTCAATTGGAAGAGAGAAGTAAGAGAGAGAAGAGTAAGATTGGAAGAGAGAGAAGTAAGAACACCACAGGCGGATTTACGGGGGGGGGAGGAGGGGCTTTCGGGCTGAAGTCCCCCAAAATGGTAAAATGTATTCATGTTTTATGGTAAAAAATGTTAAAACATTAAGTCTTAAAGCATTATAGCTCGTTTAATTACATTTAATAGGACTTAAAGAATCACTTAAACACCATTTCATATAGGTAGTTAGTATATTTCTGTTTTTCTAAAGTAATTATCGTTTTATATATGAAAAAAAAGGCTCCGGGTTGAAGCCCCCCCCCCAACATTAAATCCTGGATCCGCTAGTGCAGGACACAGAGAAATAGAGAAGAATAACTCAGGAGGCCAAGAAAAATGCTGGCCGCCAGCGCCGGGGAGTCATAAATTCTCTTGCACAGGAATCCAACCTACATACATCACATCGTAACATTCTGCTTCCGTGTACCCAACTTCAAAAATTAAGAAACCATCAATTTTCAAACTTCTTTAAACATTGGATCCAGTTAATTCTCAGTTTGAATTAATTCACTTGAAAGATTGAACCAATAATACACCCTGGATCTCCAGGTTTGATGCTGTAGTGATTAATAAATTAAAAAAGAAAACATTATTCTTCTATGTAGCCTTCCAGCCGAGATGAGACAAAGGAGTTTCATCTGTGTCGACCTGGACTCAGTACTTCTTGTTACATCACTAATGAGTGTAAGATCTAGTAAAAGTGAAAAACAAAGAATCAGAAAGTGAAATTCGGATAGAAACATCACTTTTTTCATAATTATTATAAATTATTTCTATTTTTATCACCGATCCGTGGCGCCCTCGGGGACGCTGCGCCGACCTGATCACTTAACCTACGCGAACGCGCTACTTCAATCGTAGTAAGTATTGGATTGGCAAATAAATCCTTTCGGTTTTTCAGGATGAAATAAAACTCAATGTACTATAGAAATAAAATTTATTTTAATCTACAATATATTGACCATTATTTAATATGACTTTCCACTAACTGCACAATGTCATGTTCATAGAATTTATGGAGTTAATTGTTAAAAAACTGATCCAAGTGGTTTTTTATGTCCTCTTCCTTTTGGAATTTGTTTCCATTCATGGAGTTCTGCAGAGAAAGGAATAAGTGTTAGTCACTTGGAGCTAAGTCTGGTGAATAATTGTTATAACTGGTGAATGGTCATTCATAACTCTTCGGGATGTTCTCCAAATTCGATGTTAATATATCCGTTGGAAAATTAAATTATTGCTCTTCAAAGCCTTTCGAATATTTTTTTTTCTTTAATTTCTACATAAGGAATAAATAAACAAAAATTCCTTATAGGTTTTTATTTTATGTCTTTATTTGTAGTTTGTTTACGAAGGTCTTGTTGATGTCATTTTGTCTAGTTAATGTGGCCCTAAATTCCAGCTAAATTTTTTGAAAATACCTAAACTCGTATTAAAGATATAACATTTTTTTGTGATTTTTGAAAAAATCATTTGAGGGACCCAAACATTAGGCCTGCAAACAGCCGAGCTTGTGCAAATGGTTTTCTACGCTTGTGTGCGACACATTTAGGGCCATAACGATCTCTCGCACTGATTGGGTGGAATTTTTATCAACAATATTCTTAACATTGCTCGTTAAAATTGCATGTAGGCGACTCAAGACCGTTGAACATCATTGATGTCAAGATTTTCTGAATGGAATTTAGCACACCAATTTTGGCAGGTGCGTTTGGTTAAGACAGCATCCCCATAAACACGGCAAAATTTTCTATCGGCTTCTGCAGCACTCTTACCTTTTTTAAAATAATACAACAAAATATGTCGATAACGAATGATATTTTTTTCCATATTCATAGCAAACATAATACTAAGCTAGTTTCGACAAGAGTTAACAGATATAGTTTTTGACATATTGCAAACAGGATGAACAATCCACCATAGAGATTAATTTATCAGATAAGAAGTGTCTAATAGTGACATAAAAATAAACAGAAAATCCGAAAGGACTTATTTGCCAACCCAATACTATGAAATATTATCCATTTGATGCATTAAACAAGCACGAAAAAAAAAGTCAGTAAGGTCCAACATCCAAGCTTGGCTTATTGTTCCATATTCAATCAGACCCATAATGGGTCTCAACATTTTCCTTTGCACTTGCTTGTTAATACTATATAAACTGTATAAGTCAAAAGCCTCGAAAAGTGGCGGAGATTGTAATGCGATGAAATAAATAAAACTGTTAACACTATGGCGTTTAAATTGAAAAAAAAATAAAAAAAATTGCAGTAATAGAGTTAAACTATTGCCCCATTACTAAGCGACCAACATTTTGTAGGTTAGACTGTACGTATGGAAACGATAAATTGCTAGATTAATAATAAATTTATTCGGTTAATGTCTCATTCAACGATGAAATAAATTCATGATAGATTTATATCAACGTTTCGAACGAATTCCAATCAAAATATCAAATACTTACCTTCACGGAGATATCCGAATCTGAATATAATGTCGGGGCACTGAGTAAAGACTCCGAGGTCTGGCCGGACGTTGACACGATAGATTCAACATAATCCTCACTGCTCTCTGAATCAGATTGGAACTTTGTTTCGTAATTTGCATTCATTTCAGTTCATTAGTTCATTAAACGAAAAATATATTTCAAAAATTAATAACTATTATTTTATCATAACTGATCACATGATAATTTTTAATTACAAAATGCAATGAACTGATATCACTTTTGACTAGAGTTATTGCATTTTGAAATGTTGTCAGATGACATATTTGTGTTGTTTATTCTCTAAGTGCGGTTTCTAGGAAGTTGCAAGGTTAATTTTTTTTTTTTTTTAAATCTCTTTGTATAAACACATCATTCCAATTTAACTTATATGCACTTGTTGACATTAGGTATGAAGGCTGTGACAATTCCATTTGAACTTCCTCTCACACATAAACAGAGAGTTCTTAAGTTATACAAGGAAATTTTACGTAACCTGGAATCATGGTATTACTACAGGTTTGTATTCATTTATTTTTATTTACCTTAAAACGGTAAGTCCGGTTGCTGTCTCTAAATTATGTTCGAAATTGTTAATTAATTCAATATTTATGTACTAAGATTTTTTGAAATAGATACTTATCCTAACATCAATCATTTGATTATTATACAATTATAAAACAAAAAGTACTTTTTCATAAGTGTCGCATCTGGTTGATATGCGAGTCAAGATCAGATCGATCACACTGTTAATAGAATATCAAAATACTGTATCAGACTGTTGGCAACTTTTTTCACATGTGGGCTCGCTCAAAGGATAAATAATTTACTGAACACAGGCCCAATCAGGAGTCTTCTTTTTACTTTCACTTACATATATATGTAATATATAGTAAGGGTAAGTATTGCGATCGTGAAAATTTTCAAATTGAGTTTTCAACCGAAACACACGTTTTGAGGACCCCAGAGTCCAAATAACTAGGTCCCACAAAATTGTCTGTATGCGAGCAGCCTAATTCAAAAACGAAAAGTCGAACGAAACTCAAATTGCGTATTTGAGGTTTTTATATGCCTGGGATGTTACAGGAGCTTTTTCGTCAAAATCGGCAAATTGGAAATGGTCCCTTATAGAATCAATTAAACACATTTTTAAGATGTTCTAAAAAAAAACGGCCCTAACGATTTTGATTAACCCAGTATATCAGTGTATTATTAAACAGTTTTTAATATAATTTAGTTTTTATTCTTATTGATGTTTACTAACAGGGCTTAAATGACTAATTTTCAATATTAGGGTCCTTTAAAAAAGGAGATTTATTTTTTTTTATTTGAAATAATTAACCATTTCACGTTAACCTTTAAAAAAAGATCTGGTGTGTCCACCCACACGACTTTCCTACCTATTTCAGAAAAGTTTTTATATCTTTACATATGTTCATGAAGAAACAAAAAAGAATTGAACTAGATACATTTTCCTAAAAATTGATCAAACGTAAGATTTGAGTACGATTTATTTGGTAAACTAAAGCAATGCAAACCGGCTTAAGGTATATCAGTGTAAAAATTTCAATACTTCCTAATATTGCTGATCAAAAACTTTTTCGCATAGCTTAGTATTGTCAAACAATAATTTCTGTTAAAAGTAGAGGAAATAGTGAAGCTTGTGTGATGCGGGCAACAGATTTTCTTAAGATCATTTAGTCATTTCTGTTCTCTCATTCATCCCTTTAGGATATGAATAATCTTACATTGGAAATTGAATAGCTGTAACTTCGTTATTAGTTGTCCAAAATGCAGGAATTAATTTTATATGGCTTTGTAGGGATTTCATTACCATTCAAAAAAACAGGCTAAACAGTGTGTTCTAAAACGTATAGATCGAAACAGAATACACTGTATCATCGCTAATACTGGTTCGATTCCGATGATTTTTTTTTTGCCATGTTGGTAATTTAATTACCTTTCAAAAGTTTTATTATATATTTTACTGCATAATATTTATACGGTCAAATAAATAATAATCAGGGAGTTAGGCCCCATAACATTTTTCTTTTCTTTATAACTTTTTTCATGAATTTTTTCGGGAATTGATTCTATATACGAAAATTGAAAGAACAATGATTAGAAGATTATAGGAAAGTTTCATCAGTTTTGCTACAGTCTACAGAAAAACATGTTTATCATTTATTGCGCATGGAGCACCGAATTTCTGTCACAGGCATCAGTAGTCAAAACCCTACAAAATAAAAAAAGAAGCAAAATCGGTTCAGTAGTTCCCGAGAAAATCTTGGCACAGACAGACAGACAGACAGGCCAATGGCTAAAAATGCGTTTTTCGGACTCGGGGGGCTCTGAAACGTATAGATCCGTCGAAAGCCGCATGTCGGAAATTTGACCCGATTGCAATACTTTCCTTACTTAGTATAGGTAGGAAAGTTAAAAAAAAACCTGTATCACTACAACCCATGAAGGATCTTGGGTTCAGTTATTTAGGGAAAGCAGTGGTTCTTGGTCTACGACTGTGCAAGGTGATTTTGCCGAGATCACGCTCAACTGCCAGGTTTTCCCACTTAATTAATTATTTTAATTAAAGGTACCCACTTTATAGAAGCTGGGTGTGCCCTAGAAATGTCTACCTACCCAGGGTCGCTCCACGGCTAATGAAACAGAATAAATAATTATTCGGCCATGAGGCCGGGGACCTTCAACATTGGAAGCTCGGTACTCTACCACTGAGCTCCCCCTCTCCCCCTCTTTAATATAAATACAAAATAGTTAATATTAAATAGTTAATAGTTAAATACAAAATATGAAAGAATTTGATAATTAAATAAAGGAGAAATAAGAGATCGTAACGGATAATAGTCGTAATTGAAGAACCAAAGTAATGCGAGCGCTCCCGAAAGATAAGAACAGACTTTCATAGTAACAAGAGCTTAATATAATACGGACTCCGACAATATTATGTACATATATACATGCGATTTTAATAAATGCTATCGTTTTAACTATTTAATATTTAATTGTATAGATTACAGCGATATAAAAATTAAAACTTGTATCGATAAGAGTAATTAAATAAATAAAAATACCCACTATAAAATGTAAATAAATATAAAGTCTATAATTTTTACTTTCAATTCTCCTTTGTCTGAAAATACTTATTTCTACTAAGGAGATGGTGGTAAGTGAAAGCCGAGTGATGCGCGCACCAGATTTTTTTTTATTGGATTATTCCCTGCTTACCATTTCTGATATACAGGAGCAAAGCAGGACTCATTAATGAAGATGGATCCTTTTCAATTTATATTCAAGTACTTATGATAATTTATTTCTAAGGATGTTCTGGGGACGGATTTGCTCCTTATGATTTCCAACACTCAGTTCCTTTGAGAATATTATGTAAAGTAAGATTGATGATGATAGTGCTAGTGAGCATGTGAGTCATGTTCTCAAAAAAGGGCCATTTAGTATTTCACAAATTTGTAAGTACTTTTTAATTTATTTTCCATGTGTTATTTTATATAATTTTTGTGGTGTTTGATTTGAATATAATTGAGGTAATTTCATCGCGGCGAATCAAATGGGCTTGTAAAGTTGTTGGGCTTAGTAATAAGAGAATTCCTAAAAGGTTAACATTTGCTGTGCCGAATGGTAAGCGTCCGAGGGGTAGACCGAAGCGAAGGTGGGAAGATTGCGTTAAAGCCGATCTGAAGGGACTGGGTTTGGACGGCGAACGGTGGAGGGAGGTGTGTAAAAAGCGATTGGTGGTGTCGGCATCGAACCTACGGGTTCGCTAAGCCTTATTATTATTATTATTATTATTTTATATAATTTTAACAGTTCAGTTTGGTGATTAGCCCTTTAATTTTCTCAATAGGATATAAAAAAACTTGATATAAAGTTTATGTTATTTGTTCTTTTACAATCCTATACTAAACGTTGACAATAATTAAAAGGTTTTGATGTTTATATGTGCCTTAAGAGTTTTTGTAAGCTTTTGTATTAACATGAAATAACTTAATAAAAACCATGATGACTTTTTTTTTATCTATCCAAAAAAAAAAATTTATTTATTTATTATAATGCCGCTACGGTCCTACAAGAACCCGAGCCTCCTCGATTACAGCCAACCAATCTCCACGGTTTGGTGCTACTTCCCTCCATCTTCGAACGCCCAGCCGCCTCAGATCGTCCTCAACATCCTCCAGCCATCTGATCCAAGGGCACCCTCTACTTCTTTTACCATCCGGCTTCTCATGCAGCATCCTCTTTGGCATTTTTTCCACATTACTAACCATCTGATTCTGGCTCTTTTTATCAATGCCAAAATATGAGGTTAACCATAAAGTTCTCGCAGTTCCTCATTCTTTCTTCTCCAAATTCCATTCTCAAAGATTCCGCCCCATATTCTTCTCAATACTTTCCTCTCCCAGGAGTTGAGCGTTCTGGGTTTTTGCTTAAGATTCAAATCTAACACTCATACATAACCATTGGCCTTACTATGGTTTTGTAAACGAGGATTTTGATTCTTTGAGGTCTGAATTTCAAGTCTCTTTGTTTATTAGTTTACTAATAAATTAGGTTTATTTTACTCAAATAGTTTTAAACATCTGTAGTCATATCTAGTGGAACCTATGCAAGTGGTGATACCTTGAAATTACAAATATAAATTAATTTATTATGGATCATCTAGAACATTCATAGCCTCTATATTTAGAAAAAAAATAATCTTTCTGATGATATATTCAGCTGCTAGCTGATTTTAAAATATATAAAAGTTTCACAAAATATAGGCTCTTCATTTCTATCCTGTTATGTCGTTGGCTATTTGAGCCTATTTTTTTTTTTTAATGTATTAATGTTGCGATTATGATAAATATAATTTAACAAAATCAAAATATTTATTTTAAAAAAAAAATATTATGAACTAATTATTCGTAGTCTAAATCTGAGGGAAATGGTTCTCTGAGATGTCATACAGCAGAGTTCTATCACCATCGAGTCCTGTTGCATAATTATTTCTGCTTATTTACAGCAATCTGTTAGTCATATATGTCTCATGGTGGGCAAAAGTCTCTACTACATCTCACAAAACATTCCTCTTCCATGTCCTGGAATGAATCGTCCGTGGTGTACGTCACTTGAATGTAAATATTGTCTACCTCTTCAAGGGTGATGTTCTGGACATCTACATAATTACATAGAGCTACCCAGTGCGAAATACTCCTAAGATGAGTATGGATTTTTGAACTTGTCCCAGGGACTCCACTTCTGTGAGCGCATTTCATTTTAATATTCTATGGTTTTAGGCTTGTACCTTTGGTGCCTCTCTTCAGTTAAGACCAGCATCCATGTTGAGTACAATCTAGATCATGATTTTTGATGCCTGAGGAAGTTTTCATAAGCACCGTGAATGGTGTTGATGATTCTGGACACACTGTTGTCCATGTCTTGTGTCCCATCCTTATATACCTCCTCCTCCTATTTTTCATCATTTATAATTCTCTCAAAAATGTACCTGAAGACACTCCAGTCACTTATTTGGGCAACAAAACCAGTGTCATTGTTGTGGGAATATTTTGATTTATCATCCAGGCAGATTGCTATCGCAGTGTGGTCTAAGGAGGCACTGCTTTCCAGGAATATGTGGTATCAATTTTTGTACCACTGTCCCAGATAATAGAGTTTCTAAGCAGAGTTTCATTAATTACAAGCTGATTTCTTGCAAATAAAATTGCCCATTTTTGCATCTTGTCTACATTCTTTTTGCATAACCGTTGCATGTTCCAGAAGTTTGTATCCGAGTATATGATAATCTTCCTTATTTATCTTATGAATGATTGCACGGAAGAAATTGTCTCATTAATATAGCTCATGTCAGGGAGGGAGGTACACCTTTACCAACATGAAGGAAAAATTACCCTATATGACGTACATACGATCCACCATTGTATGCTGTATCAGCTCTGTTGTGACTTGAGTGCATTGGAAAATTCTAGGAATATCTGTTATTATTATAAATAGAATAAGTTGAAATTTATACACTTTTATTTTTAACACACGCACATATCAACACATTGAATAATACTGCTACTAGAAACATATGAAGTACATTAATCCTAATATAAGTAAACATATGGTACTTGTTTAGGCTATAACAAGATCCATCATGTCAAGGTTAGGATTATTAATCACTATTGTAGCCCTGGGTATCCTCTCTCCACTGCTCATGGGTATAATTCTTGGTGTGAGACCAAACTCCATAACCCTGTTCCCATGGCATGTTGGTTTCTGTCCTCCATTAGGTAATAGTGTTTAGGAAGACTGCGAACCTCATCAGGCACAACATTCTGGTGGCCCATGTTTGGATGCAAGATATTGAGTTTAGTCATAGAAGGTTCTTCTCACTACCTCTTATGTCTTCTTTAAATCCGTCAGACAGTCACAACTTCCTCTCTGTTACCTGTCTTTGTTATTAGGGGTACCTTCCCTCAAACCGTTAATACAGTTTGGGGCTTTATTTTTTTTTTTTTTAACACTCTTTAGCTATGTGGCCAGTTGCAGAGCACACTCCATGTGCACCTCTAGCACCCAACTACTCCACTTTCCGTTAGGTCTTGCCTCCAAACCAGCTTTAGTTGTGTGGAAACTCGTGCATTTACTTCTCCTCACTTGAATATTTGTGGAATAACAGGAATTTACTTAAAACTTCTTAAGTGCTCTTACCTTAAGTTTTACTCAAATTGAGTCTCTAAAAGTTTCTTAAGGAAAGACAAAACCAAACCAACAGGTAAACATTTACATACTCATCTTATTTAAAATTACTAAAACTAACTAGATCATAAAACAAAAAAAATCTTGTTAAAAAAATATTAAAAATAACATAAAAATGTATCAGAAGAGCACAAAAACTAACAGTTGCAAATGTAATAGAACACAGTACACTACTTGTCACCATGAACTACCAAATCACATTATCCAGTTTAATTGCAGCTTAGGACTATTTTTTTAAAATCATATGGATATATCATCTGTTATTGTTTTTTTCGTCAGTAACAACCAAATTATAATTTAATCTTCAAATAAAATTGAGATAAGTCAGCCCTAGTGAAAAAAATCACTGTTAAAGATTTTTAAGGCTATTTATGTATTATTTAATTGATGATTATCATTCACTACAGCTGGCTGTCTTGTATTGTGTTAGCCTGTTTATTTATTTATTTTTTTATGTTCATGTACAAATATGATTTAAATTAATTATTATAGATTATATATAAACACTTGAATTATTTAATGTATGATTTTTCTATTGTTATTATAAACAGGCCAGTGTTTCGATACCAAGCTACTATCATGAGGGCCAAGTTTGACCAAAATAAATCTGTGGCTCAGGAAAAAGCTGCACAACTAGTCTGCCTGGCTGAGCAGGAACTACACAAAAAATCACACTATGAAATAAAACAATGTAAAATTTATTCTTATATGGGATATATTTTCCTGACTTTATATACCCAATTCTAATGTAAAATAATGATTGTAATATTATTGAATCTTTATGCATAATAATTTGATTTGTTTTTAATTAGGAATCAATCCAGTTATTTATCTATTGCTAAGTTAACTGAAAATTACCTAACACAATGTGTACTTGTTAAAATCAAGTATCATAACTAGAATTGACTGTAATAAATCTTCTCATGTTAATTTAAACATAATTAAAGTAGAAATTTTAAGGTGAAATTAAATAAATAATGATAATCGAGGTACTAAGTTCACTTGATGGCGGTATGGAAGTAATTGTAACAATTCTAGCTTAAGAAGTTAATAGAGGAAGGGGTAAGATCAACAATTGCACACATAATAAGTTGGAGTGATGATTTGATAGTCTACAAGACTTCATCAGGGCTTTTTGACAGGCATTGATGAAAGAACCAAGGGGATTGACATAACAGGGAGCCATATTTTTTTGCGAAATTGCTCAAAATTGGGGTTTAATTTGTATTTATAGGATTAAATTGGAGGGAAAACAGAAAAAATAATTATTGACCTTCCTTCTAGGGTTAATTAATAAATAAAATAAAACTCATAATCATCATTGCAATAGATAGAAAATAAACTTTATTCCGGGACATGGTCCCTTAAGAATAACAATTATGAACAAAAAACTAAAACCACATCTGGCCAAAAACTATATTAACAAAAATTAAACAATGTATAAAGTGTCTTCAGGGACAATATATAAACAACAGAAAGTAAAAACATCGAGAAAAACAAAAATAATTGGAACGAAGGGAAAACAGAAATCAGGAAAAATAACGAACAGTGTTATAAACATTATGAATACATTCTTTTTTTTTTTTTTGTTAAAGAAATTTACAACTGTAATTAATAATAAATACAACAAGTAAATATGAACAAGTAATATGACATGTACAACATGAGGAGAAACTACGCATTGGTAGCACTCCAATTATATTTCTATATTAGAAGGTCCCGAGGCCATCTTCTTTTTAGACGCCTCGGGGGGTTATCAGGAATAGAAGAGGAAGCAAGGTTGGAAATGAGAGGGTTCGGATGGTACAGAAGTTTATTATGAAAGGACAGGTATCTGGATTGGGCTAAATCGGAAACATATGGTACATTAAGGTCATTATGGATGATTTTATTTGTGACAAAGTAGGGAGCATTAAGGATTTTACGAAGGATTTTGGATTGTAGGGATTGGATACGAGAGGAATTTGATGGTTTAGTAGAGCCCCAAAGCTCGATCCCGTAAGTCCAAATAGGCCTTATTATAGTAATATATATGAGTCTTTTGTAAATAGTTGGCAGTTTAGAGCGTTTGTCTAGTAAGTGCTGGAGTAGTCGGAAACGTCGGGCGGTTTCTAATCGTTTCAGTCTGGTATGGGGGTGCCAAATGAGTCGTTTGTTAAGGTGGAGTCCCAGGTATCGGATTTGGTCAACAGGGATAAGTGGAGTATTGTTAAAGGATACTGTAGGACAGAAAGTCATAGGTTTACGACGAAGAGTAAAGGTAATTTGATGGGATTTATTGGAGTTTATTTAAATCCTCCAGTTTTGACACCATTTTTCAAGACTTGTGATGTGTGATTGAAGAGTTTGGGATGCAATAGATGGATCGTTATTGACTGATAGGATACATATGTCATAGGCATATGTGGTGATGACAGTGTTGGGTTGGGTTGGGATGTCAGCTGTATAAACTGTATAAAGGATAGGACCTAGGATACTACCTTGAGGAACACCAGCAAACTGAGAAAAAAGAGATGAAAAAGCATTGTTATGATTGACTTTGAAGAATCTGTCAGTAAGGTAGGAACGGATAATGAGGAAGTATGAGTTTGTACATCAGTCCGGGATGCCAGACTCTATCAAACGCCTGTTCAACGTCGAGAAAAGACTCCCGTGCAGTACATTCCGCGCTCCAATGCAGAGGAGACTACATCTACCACATGATGGCATTGCTGTATAGTTGAGTGGGATGTGTGGAATCCAAACTGGTGATCTGAGATAATTTGTTTAGAGTCTAGAATACATTCTTAAAATCACAATTTTTAATTTTAAGAATCTAATCATAATGTTCATAACATTTTGTTTGTTATTTTTACTGATTTCTGTTTTTCTATTCATTTTAATGTATTTTTGTATATATATATTTTTTTCTTTGCCCTTCCATCCACTTGTTAATTCATCCCTCCATACTTTTAAATTCATTGTTTTCCTTTTCACATTTCCTTGAGATTTGTCAGATTATATTCACAATCACATATATCATCCATCCTATTTATCACATTTAAAATTTTCCCATTTACAATTATTGTTACCAATTTTTATTTACTTTATTCTAGGTTCTGGTAATCAGTTATTCTCTGTTTAGTATTCTTACATTACTTTGCTTACTTAGTTATGCTTCATTTAATATTTATATTTATATTTAATATTTATACTTTCTTTTCACACTGTTTATAATTTTTATGCAACCCACAATTCTCTATATCCTTTTATATCTTGTATGTTCTAGCACTGAAAATGAACTGCACAGTTGGGTCAAACATCAACTCGAAATAAAAAAATTGTTTTTCAGTATTTTAAATCGTTTTATGACCGCCACACCACCTCTTTCCTCAATTAAATAATTTAAACAACCATTCACTTCAATTGAAATTCGATTCATAAAATTTATTTCATGATGGTATCATATAATTTACGATCGATTAAGAGCCTAAGAGTTGAAGACATAAATTGTGTGAGCCTCCCAGAAAACAACTCTCTTGTTAACTTAAAATAAGCAGGATCAACTGCTGTTTTCCATCCAGTACACAACAAAATTATAATACAAATAGTTTTCTTTAGTCACCAGCTCAGGTAAATTGTTATCTAAGCGGACATACACCCCAGTCTCCCTCAGTGGTGTGTTCCTAAGTCCCTCAATAATGGGATGATCAATGTCCATTTTACATTATTACATCATATTATCCATCTATGTTATCTTCTTCCATTAAAAACACATCAACTCCTGGTCTCCTCTCTTGTTTTCCCCCACTTCGACTATGGCTGCATGGTGTATGGTGGACTCTCGGGAGAATTCGAAGCTAAACTTAAACGTTTAATGAATTACTCAATCCGCTTTATCTTCAGGATCTCAAGGGATATGCATATTACCCATTTCTACACCAAGTTGAAGTGGCTTTATCCGTCCTACCGCCATCAATATTTCCTTGCTACCTTCCTATACCAAGCCATTAGAACACGGCGACATTCCTATATTCTACAGATCCTACAATTCAAACGCTCCTTTCAATCCCGTTCCACAAGATCCCGTGCATCCGACCTCTATCCTCCTCCTCACCGAACTGCTGCGTTTGATAAATCCTTTTTAATAAAAGTTGTCTCCCTCTGGAACTCTATACCTTCAGATATTCGACACGCAAAATCCATATCCTCTTTCAAATCTCCCCTCTTCAAACACCTTCTCCATTCCCAATCCGATTGATCACGAAATGCAATTAAAAACCTATGCTGTAAAGACCTCAAAGTACGCCCCGATACTCTGATTACTTTGTGATTCATCGATATTTCGTTTACTTAATTACTTTCTCTGTATATTTTATATTTACACGTATTTATATCTTTTTATTACTTATAACTTTATTGTATTCCTAATCAACCTGTAAATATTAAACTGTATTTTATAGACACACCAAAACATTAATATATATTCTGTATTTGTAACTTGTTCTAACGGGACACTAGTCCCAGAATAATAAAATTATTTTCATTCATTCATATTTTAGCAACTATGTCACCCCATTTATTTTTTGTCTACTTAAATCTGTTTTTTTTTCACCTCATACATTCCATTACGTTTCGCTGTTAATTCATTTTTCGTTTCTTATGTAACCTTATTTTGATTACATTTAATTCAGTAGTCGCTACTTTGTTGCTGTTATTAATTATTTCATAGTTCTCTGTTACTGTTATTATTTTATTCATAATTTCTTAACTCAGTTACCATTATGTTATATATCATAACTTTTTTACCGTTATTTTATTTTATGTTATTTTATATTTTCTTTAAGTTAACTCTACCTACTTTATTGTACTTTAAGTCAGTAACTCAAGGTGAGTTCTTACTTGTATGACTAGATAATGAGCGATCAAATTTGCAAATTATCTTCGTTTAATTGATTTTATAGATGACTTGATAATAAGCTAATCAGCTCGAAACATCATTGGAAATAAAATAAAAAATCTGAACGTATAAGGACTTATATATTCCCTGAAGACACCATATATAATTACTTTAAGTATTTTCTTAAATACGACAACGTTAATGAAAGCCGGTAAAGAACTAGGACTCGAAATGAACGTGGATAAAACAAAATATATGGTTAGCTGCAAAAATGGCGATACTACTGGTGATATCGATATAGATGGTAATATATTTGAACAGGTAGATAAATTTAGGTATCTAGGTTCTACGATAACTAGAAAAAACGAAATTGAAGAAGAGATTAAGGTTAGACTGAAGGCGGGAAATGCTTGTTATTTTTCTGTGACAAAACTACTTAGTTCGCGCCTCTTGTCCCGAAACTTAAAAATTAGAATCTATAAAACAATTATCTTGCCTACAGTTCTTTATGGATGCGAAACTTGGCCGCTTACATTAAGGGATGAGCAGCGTCTTAAGGTTTTTGAAAATAAAGTATTGCGTAGAATATTCGGACCGAAGAAGGATGAGTTAACCGGAGAGTTTAGACGGTTACACAACGCCGAATTGCGTGAGCTGTATCCAGGTAATATAATTGAGGTAATTTCATCGCGGTGAATCAAATGGGCTTGTAAAGTTGTTGGGCTTAGTAACGAGAGAATTCCTAAAAGGTTAATATTTGCTGTGCCGAATGGTAAGCGTCCGAGGGGTAGACCGAAGCGAAGTTGGGAAGATTGCATTAAAGCCGATCTGAAGGGACTGGGTTAGGACGGCGAACGGTGGAGGGAGGTGTGTAACAAGCGATTGGTGGTGTCGGCATCACTTCGGGTTCGCTAAGCCTTGTTATTATTATTATTAAGTATTTTCTGCCTACTTTAAGTTTATTGTACATACTATTTTTTCTTTTTAATTTTTTAATGTTAATAGTTTCTCATACCTATAGTTATCAGGGTTTTTTTTTTTTGTAGCCCTGATGAAGGCCTGAACTTGGGGACGAAATGTCTGCAAAATTAAAAAATAAATATACTTATTTAGTTTTACTTTTTTTTTTTTTTACTGATCACCCCAACCATCAATCCACAATTTTTTCATATAATTTAAAAATAAAAATCTTAACTTTTTGGAAATATTTTAAATGAAAAAGATTCATTCTAAAACAATAAAAAACCTTATCTCATCATGATAAAAATATTATATATCATGTGATTTTGATTATTGATATGTATTAGTTACTTGATATAGATAATAATTAATTTGATAATTAGTCTAGTACTAAATGAATACCAATTCTATTATAATTTTCTTTATTTTGCAGTTCCTCATACAATCAGAGGTATAGCATATATGAGGGATGTGCACATACCAGATTGGGTTTTAGACTACTGGCATCCTTTGGAGAAAGCTCAGTAATATGTTTTTAATTATAACAAATAAAGTATATTTTTGCAGGAGTACCCACGAGGGGATTTTATGGAGCAAATTGAACTATCAAAATTGAGGTGGGCAAATTTTGACAGGGTTTGAATTTTTGAGGGGGGAAGCACATTTTGGCAGAGTTATGAATTTTAAAACTAGAAGACAAGAGAAAGCATAGAACAGACCACAAATAGAGAGTAATTGTATATGATCTTCGAAATTTTAGATGGTTCGTGCGTCATTGATCTTGGGGGAGGGGCACTCCTAGCTTGCAGTAAATGTATTTCTTATTTTATAATCAATAATGAAATTATTAATGCTAGTGAAACAAGCAAGTATATCCAATTCATGCTACAAGGTCTATATCCTGCTTTCTTTATAGAATATTATTAATATGATACAAACTGATACCTCACAAAAAAAAAACCAACAAAATTAACTGATTTAAGTGTGAGAATAAAACTATGAACATCTAATGGAAACATTTATTCAATGTAAATCTAACACTAAACGACATTGTCAATGAGAAAGATTCATAAGATAATTGGTTTATAGTAAATAATTGCTAAGTGTACTTTTGATGGATCTAATTTTCAAAATAAATACTTCTGAATTTTTATTTTATTTATTGAAGCAAAAACCATTAAGTGCAACAAAAGAGCATAAACCTTATTATAAGAGGTGAAAAAAAGGAAGGAATTTTGTCAGAACTTCTTTATTTATCAATAATTTTCACCACGTTCAAAGTAATTCCAGGTGGGCGAAACTCCAGGGAACACTGATTGACAACTTATGTCCCTAATTTCTAACTTAATACGGCATACAATATTGAGAGAATATACAATTCCTGCAAAACAATTTTCCCAATTTAAAATATTGTAGAGGCAGAGTTCGCATATATTATAGAAATAGTCATGCTGCAAAAGCCTGTAAGTACATTTTTACTGTCAATCTTGACCTTGCACATATTCAGAAATACTAAAAAAAAAATAATGTTTTTTGTTTAACCCTTTAACTGCTGAAAATAATTTTTTTCTTTGTTTTTTAGTTAAATAGTGGATATTTTGTTTTATTTCTTATTTGTATGTACATAGATCTAGACATTTTGTATATGGTTTCATCAGTTTGTAAATTTTTTTATATATTTGTTAGTTTGCATAAAATATTTTAATTATTTAATGTATTTCTCTAGGCCAGAAGTATTCCTCTGTTCTTTTGTTATTCTTAAGGGACTTTGTCCCAGAATGAAGTTATTTCTCCATCTATCTATCTAAGTAATGTAATAAATAAATGTAAAAATATAAAAACAAAACAAAAAAAATATATATATATATATATTCCATATAACATAAAAGTGTTTGAAACTCGATAAAATTTATAACTGCATTATTTTTTAATATGGAACTTTTTTAGGAAAGAAAAAACATTGTAAATACAAAGAAATATATAATTCAAATCCCATCGTCATTGTCCTCCTTTTAGAAATAATACAATTTAATGGTGATGATCACTTACAGTTATTTTGGTTTTCAGAAATGAACAAATATGCAAGAAAGCAAAGTGTTGTGAGCTGCCTAATTTTACATTGCTATCTGCGGCTGTCCCTCCTATTAAAAGTTTAATGAAAAGGTTAAAATGCATTTTTCAAAGCTAAGATCTCACAGGATGACTCAAAAAAGTATCTTAAACAAATTTACCGAAAAAGAAAAAAAATCCTTTTTTTTTCACGTCTTTTTAGATTTCGGGACCCACCTTCAGGTAGAAACACTTCAATGAGCTCCCGCAGTCAAAGGGTTAAAAAATAATTTGTAATAACCAAACATTTATGAGGTTTGTTTAGTTTTATGAGCACTTACTGGCATTTGCAACATGGCTATCAATTTTAAGTACTCTTCAATTTTTTTCCTCAAAACAACAATGTCAATCTTGCCAATAATGATAGTCCGAAACTTTTTGGTGAAAATCTAAGTGAAACAAACAACACGTTCTCCAAAAAGATATAAATAAAATAAAAATTAAATTAATGAAAATGGCCTTGCTCTCTCTTTCTTAAAAACAATAGGAAGATTTTTTTTTTCAATTGGAAGTATTAATAAAAATGTTCACATTTCGTGGATGGCAAAAATTGTCTCCTACTAATCAAGGAACCAAAATTCATACTTAAATTTTGATATTGTTATTGTTGTTTTTGTTAAATTAATATTATTGTTAAATTAAATTTTAAAATGATATTTTATGTGTCATAAACTTGTATAAAACCTGCTAGATTTCCAGAATACTTTTGCAAGAGGGAAAAGCGTAAGGAGGAGTACATTAAGATGTGGGAAAAGAAGTATGGACCTAGTTCTCCTGAAAAGTGCCACTGAATTCAATATTCTTTTCTTTGTTTATATTTGTCTTCAATCACTTGTAAATTTAAAATAAAATATTTATATAATTAATGATATATAGTTTTGCATTGTTAAATAATAATATATAATAAATTGTTTAATAATATTAAGTTTTAAATCAGTGAATAATGTGTTAAGTATAAAAATCATATTTATGGAAAACTGCAGATCAAAGTTTGGAATTTTCACAGATACAGTTAAATTTTGGATTTTTTATCCATGATTCACTAAATGTTCATGTCTGTAATAGCCTCATAACAACCCATTCGAAACAAAAATTCAAAAACTAACATATATGCAATAATAACTAATACATTACAAATAAATAGTAATAACAAATATTTTTTAATATACATTCATGAAAAACAATTAAAACTAAATATTATGATTTTGGAAGGCGGAATATGTTGGAATAGGTTGATTCAATTATCTCTTTGTCTTCTTTATGGTTAACAGAGTTGTTTTTTCAAGGTGGATAAATATTGATTCAGTGAGGAGGCGTTTTTTATGGTTAGGAATTGTGGCGAGGAGGGATGGGTTATCAAAATCAAAGAAATGGTCAATTGATATGGCATATTCAGACAATTTTGATGCAAATGGGTTCCGAGTCAAAATACTATATTTATATTTATGTTGTGTTACACGTTTTTTAAGGTGATTTTTGATCTCACCAATGTAATAACAGGAGTTACAATCAGAAATGGAATAAGAGATTTGGTACACTAAATTGGATTGTTGTAGAAATGGGATCTTTTAGGTTGCTATTGCTATGTTCCTGGCTCACCGGTGTTTCTACAGCGAGTAGGTGGTTCCAGAAACCGCATTTATCTCTATTTTCTGAATTGAATATGTATATTTGTATTTCTATCAGCTCCAGAAGGAAACCGATTTACTTACCGACCTACTGCAGTATCTAGATTAAATAATATAATCTCTTTTTAACTTATTTTCCAGAGGTATCATGTTTACTAATTTATTATTTGTATCTATATCTAAAAAGTGGCATGCGAGAAAGATTGTTAAAGAATTGAGCTTAAACAAAACATAATTTATTTATAATTTTAAACCAAAAATAAACATATATGTATAATCATTATTTGAGAATCTTGGGAGGAGAATTAGAGCCACTCTTCAGCAGAGGTGCTCCTCTTAAGTGCCCTCAGCTGATCTCCTCCCATCTCCAAAGAACCTTACCTAGGCTTGACCTCTTTTCTTCATGGGCTATCGCAGATCAACTGTCTCTAAACAGATTGTTGTCTCAGACTCACTGGTACCTTCGCTCATCTCTCATTCTTCCACTCTCCCTCTCTGTGTCGGCGATCTGGTTATATTCCTCTAATGGTATGCCTAGCACATGTATGCAGGGTTGTGCCAGAGTCGGGTCCATTAGTGTTTATTGGCTCCTCCTCATCTTCCCCGCACGGTCGCTAAGGTGACCGGACATAAGTTAGCAATTATTATACTCTATTCTTTTTATTGATATGAAATCTTTAAATATTTTTTAAATGTGGCTTTTATGATGCATAGCACCATATAAGGTTTTAAGTTTGTGATTATTTTTGAAAATAAGGCGTAAGTTAACAAAAGTGAAAGAAAAAGATTTTTTAATTTTATTAGAAAGGGTAGGGATGTATGGAATTGATCTGTATTGCAAAGGTGTTGCATGAGATTGTGAGGAATTAATTTGAGAAAAGTGGAATTAAAAATTGGGATAAGGCCAAACTATGGTGTATGATGTTTTCGGCTACATTAATTTTTTGGTTGTGAGAATGTTCGAAAAAATAATTTAGGAAGCAACCAGAATAGGTGGATTTCATATACCAATCAGTCGAAATAGAATATTTAGGATTTCTGGTAATAAGGAGATCAAGGAAGAGAAATGAATGAAATTATTTTCTATTTCAGCAGTGAAATGAAGTCTTGGGTAATAGGAATTAAAAGCATTAACAATATCTGGAATTAAGGATTAATATCAAGCCATCAACATATTTTTTGATGAAGATGTCATTAGGAAAGAGAAGCAGTATGGAGTCAAAAAAGTTGTTCAGGACAACACTAGAAAGGTCAGGAGCGAGATAAGTTCCCATTGCTAGGCCAGAATTTTGATAAAAATATTGATTTTGGAAACAAAGATAGCCAGCCGGAGTTACAGTATGATGAGAGGATTGAAGGTAGGAGAATTGATTGAGGGAAGTATGTAGTGCTATAGTAGTCCAGTTTTGTTCAACGATTTGGTGGGCATAGTCAGTAGGTATATTACTGAAAAGACTTGCAGCATTAAATGAAGATAAAATAAAAAAACAATTTTACATAATAGGGATTATTTTGATTAAGGGATTGTAGAGAAGGGAGAAGAAAATTACTGTCATTGTCAGTTATTAGAATAGACTCTTGAAGGTCAGTGATGAGAGAGGGAATAAGTTGTTTAGATTTTGAAATAGGAGTTAGGTTAGGAATATTGTTAGGCTAATAATACTGTTAATTTGACAAGGAATTAGGGTGGAAGAAATATTATGAACTCCTTCAGCAGTATCAGAGGGATTAATCTTTTAAAAAAGATTCATAACTTCAATCGCGTGTTCATAATATTTCCAAGCATGAATAAAGAAAATTTATATGAGAACTAATACAACAAACCCACATAAAAAATATTATAATAATAAAGATATGGAAAATAGCATAAGAAAGTAGTCATGGGAACAATAACAGAAAAAAAAAGTGTTTTCGAGGTCAAGTCTTAACAAGAAAACAAGGATTAATAATTCCAAATATTTTTAACAAAGGTAACTTTCATTTTACATGTGTTATGATATTTCATGAATAGTATTATTCATTCACATCCTAATATTATGGAATGAAAGCTTCCATGTTGACAAGAAAGGAGTTTTAAAAACTTTAAATTTCAAATCTTGCAATAATAATGCTTGAACATTATCCAATGAAATAAAATCTATCCTAAAACCAGCACCATTATTTGAAATAAATGGAATAATATCACCACACCCAATCACTCTAACCTTTACCGGATTTTGACCAATTCTCAGGCTGCGTGCATTTTCAACAGAAAGCATTGAATCTGTTACTACCCAAACAAATACTTGCAAGGAGTTTTTCAACTTGGATACCCCAGTTACAATTAATGAATTCATTAGAGGGTGTAAATGTTTAGGAATTTTGCCATACAATGGAATTATAAGAAGTGATTTTAGGTTGATGCATTTTGCTATTACAATCAAGGATGAATAAATAAAATAAAAACCTATGTATAGGAAAACAATTTGAAGAAGTGTTTTTTCATAAGGATGTAGCTGGAACAGAAAACAAGGACCAATAATTCAAGTTATTCAGAACCGAATGGTAACTTTCATTTTAAATTTATTGAACAGATCTATAGAAATAAGAGTAATAAATATATATGGATTATATATTTTCATTAACTAATGTATAATATTACTTCACATGGTAATACTATGGAGAGAAATCTTCCATGTAGAAGAGTGACAAGTTTTTAAAATTTTCCAGTGAACGGGAGAACGTGTTCAATAGATGAAAAGATGATTGTGAGGTTGTGAGGTTGAGGTCAATTCAGAGTCAGGACAATATACGTCACAAAATACTGATGCTGCAAGGATATATTGCCTCTCTTCTATATATTCTTTTGACGAGTCTGCTGGATTTTCATGATATATAGATAATGATGTAAGTTGTGGAGCTCCTCTAGATAACAACATCACTGCACTATCAGGACATCCCCTCATAAATACCCGAGTCAAGGTGGTGACTTCAGTTAATGCTTTGCAAAGACTTAACCATTTATGTCGCTCCTCTTTAGAAATATGATCAAACCTATATTCTTCGGTTTCTGTCTTGAAGAGGCTAATTCCCACCAAATGTAATATTTCAGTCTCATGCTTCTTGAGGGTTCGAACCATCATATCAATGTCATGTACTACACAGTTATTTAAAGTTATTCTCTTCCAAAAGATCTTGTCAGACCCAACTAGATTCCACACTTTGCAAACCTGTGCTGCTTTGAGCAGGTTCTTTGTTGAAAGGAATCAAAACAAATTAAGGAGGACTATATAAGCTTTGTCAGCATCATCAATGAAATTAGGGCCATGTTCAGTGTTGCAATTATGACCCTAAAATAAATGATAATTCATTATTTCATGAATAGCATAAGCATACGTTTATTAAAATATATATTACCTACCACACTATTAAGTTAAAGAATAGCTCATAATTTGTTTGTAACCACTAGCTGTGAAAACTACTAATTTAGACATGTATTTATACAAAACACTCCATTTTGTGTTGATATAGTTTTAAGCTATTAAAAACATTAATCTGAAGAGTAAAAGGTTTTCTGATTATACTTAATATTGTTTAATCATAAATTTACTTTGTTGTTTTGACATTATTGTTGTTACATTTTTTTTAAGATAACGTTTGGCAATTAATTAAAATACCACTGAAATGACAAAACATTGATCATCGCACAAATGCAGGTAAGATAAAACAAGAAAAAAAAAAAGACAAAATACAACAGAAGAAGAAACTACAACAAAACAATTGTGGCTATATATTATAAAAGTACACTCTATTGTTAAAATTAATGAATTTTTTAATTTAACATTATTTATTTTAACAATTATTCAACTAAGGATTTTTTAAATCTATAACTGATGTAAACAAGGTATAAAATTATAATATAATGAAAACAATTTTAAAAAACTGGTGCATGTACCACACAATTTTCAGCTGCTCTAATTTGAACTGAAATTGTCAAATAAAATAGGGCTAAAATTGTTAAGTGTTTTTTTAAGAGAGCTACACTACAAAGAAGAATACATTTTTGTATGTCAGTCATATTTATCAATGCTAAAACTCCAACTCAAGACCATCAAAATAACAAAAACTCTATTTATTATATCAACTGAAATGTTGTTTTGGAGGGTTGCAATTTACTCAGGATGCCATTGGATAATTATTGATGATAATTACCCAGAAATATTTAATAAAAATTAATAATAAAAGATTAGTTGAACAAATTTGGATCTATAATATATTTGGTCTATGATTAATTAATTGAATTTCTTTTCTCAAAGGTTGGT